CCCCCCCCCTCCGCCGCGCCCCCCCGACCCCCCGGCGGCGCCGCGGGGGGGCCGTGGGCACCGGCTGGCCCTGGCTCTGTGCCTGGCTCTGTCCGGGCGGGGGCGCTGCTCGCTTGCGGGCGGGCTCCATGCCCGCGGGGGCCAGGCCGGGTCGCACGGCGGGGCTGCCCATGTACGGGGAGCCCGGGGGGCCCATGGGCGCCCCCTGGTGGGGCATCCGGGCTCCAGACGGCATCCCGGGGCGCTGGGGGTAGGGCGGGGACGAAGCAGAAACCGGCACCCGCGGGTCAGACCAGGGTCGCACGCCCCAGGCGCGGTGAGCTGGCGTCTCCCTCCCCTCCCGCCAAGACCCCCGGCGGGTGACCCTGAGCGACGAGCAATGGCAGGCGCGATGGCCGGGAGGGGCGGGGGCGCCGGAATCCGCGCGGCTTCGGCTGGGGGGCTTGGCGTCGCGCTGCAGGAAGCTAACTGAAGCCAGGCAACTGCGCAGGGCATTGCCGAGCCTCGGATCCGCGGAGGGTACCGCCGAGGGGCTGGGACTGGCGATTCTCAACCTTTCTAAGGCTGTTCCCATCCACACGCTCCCCTGCAAGACTGACTAAGCAGGTCCTTTCATCCCCACTTGACAGATGAGGCAACTGTGGCTCAAGGAGAAAAGCGACCTCGCCAAGGTCACGCAGCTCATCCTGGCAGAGGCAGCACCTGGAGGCCCGGGCTGTTCGCGCTCTGCTGCTTGGTGCAGGCAGAGGCTGCGCTCCCAGCTCTGGCTTCTGCTCCTCCTCTTCCCTGCTTGCCTTCTCCTCTTGTCAGCCTGCTCTGCCTGGCACCCGCCCCTCCCCATCCCAGCACACTCTTCCCTCCGCGCCCCTGCTTTCAACCCCTCGGTCCCAAACCCCACTCCCTTCAGCTACTCCAAGTCTTCACACCCAGGGGCTTCCCTGACTTAGCCCGTCCCCATAATTCACTCCCAGGGTGGAGGAGCTTCCCAGGATTCTCCCACTGGGCTGGAGGGGGCTGCCCAGAGGGCTGGGATGGGTCATTGGCAGCAGCATTCCCACTCACATCTAGCTGTCCCTCCTGTCCGCCGAGATCAGCGGAGACAGACCTCCTCTACTTCCCACCCCCACCCCAGGGAGGTCAGAAGTCAGGGCTCAAAGGGGGCTGGGAAGGGGAGATGAAGCAGGACAGTACCCCTGGGTGGTCAGATGGGGTGTAAATGCTTCAAGTGAAATGTTCAAACTCTACTTGTCCAGACTCCAGAAAGGAGCTGGGAGGGCCAAAGGGAGTTTCAGGGGCTGTAAAGTGGGGGGGGGGGGGGGG